TAAGACGACCATAATACCGTTATTAGACTATGCGGATGTTACATGGGGAGACAAAAACAATGTAATCCTGATGAATAAAATCCAAGTACTGCAAAACACAGCTGCGAGGATTGTTCTCGACAAGTCAATGCATTCATCTGCTACAGAGGCACTCGTACAGCTCGGCTGGGAGAACATGAAGAGAAGAAGAAGGTTTCATCGCATGATTTTAATTTTTAAGGCCTTAAATGGTTTAATAGACTGGGATTTTAATTTTTGTAGTTTTAAAGATATTCATGGGTATAATACGAGAAGTAAAGACAGCATTTTTAGGCCTCCATCCCGTCACTCCTGGGGACAAAAGCGTTTTATTTACAATGCAGTTAATGAATGGAATACTTTACCCAATGAAGTTAGGAACAGTATCAGTATTTTTAATTTTAAAAGTCGAATTAGGGGTTTTTCTTAATTTTTAATTCTCATTTTTTTTTTTTTTTTTTTTTTTTTTTTACTGTTTTCTATATTTCTATTAGCACAATGGTTAAATGTTATTATTATTTTTAATCTACTATCTCTTTAGCTTTTGCAATTTTATTTTTGCAGGGCCCCACTGAAAACCACATGTATGTGAAGTGGGCTCCCTGTTGAAAGAAACATTTATATCTATTTTAAAACATTTCACTTTTAAAGTATTCATTAGAAGTTTATTCCAGTCTAGTAAAGCTATATACAACAGCAACAACAACAAAAACACACAGCGGATGTTTAGATTCAACTATATTTATTTAGAAACACATGTTACATAGATCTATAACGTTTCCGTCTCTATTTGGGTGGATAGAGACACATGCGGCCTTTAGCTTATTAGAGAACTGCATTTTTAAAAGTCAGCTGATTTCTATAATAGTTAAACGATTGGGCTATGATGATCCGTCAAGGAAGATGGTACGTCTGAAATCTTAACGTATTTTTGTATTGACATATTCTCATAGATGTTACCCCACCAGTGTTCAAGAGTAATTGTCCTTCAGATATTCGCGCAAGCATCAATGTAAATTCTACAGCATTGGTTAATTGGACGGAGCCTGTCGCTCTGGACAACGACGATCTGCCACCACAAGTTACAGTTGTTCCGGCAGGGATCAGCCCACCACACGTCTTCAATAAAACTACTCTTGTTGTTTACACTGCAAGAGATGCAAGTGGGAACAAGAAAGAGTGTTCGTTTAAAGTAGTTTTGGAAGGTGAGTCCGAAAGAGATTTTGCCACGTGTATGGCGAATTATGCCAAATTGATTTCCGAACTGTTTTTTATATTGCTGACATGATTCCTTACTCATATAATGTCTGAGTAAAAGGCTAGGAAATTATAGTCCAGCACTCTGTCAGCTGCCAACAATCTCACCTCGGTCTAAGAGTGAAGACCGATCACTCTCCGCTCTTTCTCTCTTGTCATTGTGTGGTGTAAGAATTATCGCCAAAATGGCCGGTAGAGCTATGTCAATGTAATAGAATCTGCTCCGAGGATAGAGTCTTTTCTTGACACAAACCCTTTATATATTTTCATCGTAGATAATTTAGGCCCTCAGGTTGTATATTGCCCCGCAGACCAGAAAATTACTGCTACGAAGATGACAACAACAGTTACGTGGAACGAACCTCAGTTTAAAGACAACAGCAATAGTCCATTGGTGATAACATGCAGTCATCAAAGTGGGACTGAGTTTTACTGGGGGACATGGAATGTGCATTGCACAGCTTACGATGATAATCCAGATAACGACCCAGCTGTTTGCCAGTTTACTATAACGGTTAAACGTAAGCATCAGGTAGACTAACCTAAGATATTTGAAGACCCAATTTTGAAAAAATAGAAAAGGGCAAGCATCTGAAAGTTGTATAAACGTCCCGTGCCACATGCAACTACCGCTCAGTACCTTGAACTAGCCAAACTCTTTGGTGTTAAATTTAATGTCGACTTCCTCTTTGTCGCGTACTGTTTTACTCCTATTATGTGCTAATACTTGATAAACTACGGTGACCTCTTCGGAATACCATCAGTTTAACCCCTAATTGCCTGTATCTCACTATGCAGAAGATATTGTGTTGATGACGACATTGTAATGAACAAAATTATTATCAGCGGTTCTTTGTATTTTTAACAAAACTAACAATCAATGTTGAAAAGTACTTTTGAAAGTAACCGGTCAGAAAGAATGAAGAAGAACAATAACAATAATTGTTGGAAAAATTTAATTTTCTTTACTCGTACAGCGACGAAGTGCAGTGACCTGCCTCCTCCCAAAGGGGGCGCAAAGGCTTGTGACGATTGGATGTTTGGAACGTTCTGTTCACCTTTTTGCAGCAACAAATCGGACTTTGCCCAACCTTTACCTGCGACTATGTGGGTTTGCGGAGCAAGAGGAACTTGGATGCCAACCAATCGTTTTCCAGACTGTACAAGTGAGTAAATAATTAGTTGCATTTTTCCTTTTTACACTACAACACAAGAAATTACATAAATACCATTCCCTGTCTTCTTTTGGCGATGGCTTGTCTTTAAGGGGCATTTTTAATATGTGACAACAAACCGTCAACTGTGTCAACTGTGCAAGTGTACCGAAAATTGAAATTTTCTGACATAATTGTTTTGCTCCTTTGCTATGTGTTACTTTGATATTATTTTCGTAAGTAACTTCGCAATGTTAATATGTTCTTTCATAGTTTTTCTTTTTTACCGTTCTGGAATCTTATCTTGATTTATGTTATTTGCTAAGGACATAACAATGTAGTGTAATCCAAATGGTGGATTGAATTAATCATGTTTTATATTGAAGTAAAATTAATTAAATGTCAACGGAGAAGGGTATTATGGGCCTGAGTCTAGCGGTTGTACTTGCGTTTTAAAAACTAATGTTATGACGCAGTTCCCATGGTCTATAAAAGTGCTTGACACTAGAAATGAAATTCTGTCAATATTTACCAAGCCACAATTTTTTTTTAAGACGGTCTAGATGAAATGGTGGGAACTCAGTTATCAGTTAAATTTCAGGGCGTTTTTAAGCAACGAAATGGCCAAATGGCTCCAGTTAGCCTCAATAGAACTCAGATTAGCCTAAATATTACTGCCTTGACAGTGGTTAGCTCTCAGTAATTGTAAAGGTAACGCTTACAGACACCCATATCCCACATGGACTCTTACTTGTAGTGCCATTTCGTAATCTCGCCATTTCGTGTTTTAAAAGCTTTCCACATTTTGGGCGATTTTATTTAGTTATCAGTCAAAGTTCAGCTCATTCTCAACTATCGGCAAATTTTGCTGATCTGAGATCGCAGTTCTTAGTTAAAAAAAGAAAAAAAAGAAACCCCGCATATTTTTCATATTTTCACAAATCTTGACCTATTCTCTGCTATCAGTTCAGTTAAAACCCATCCAGACCCTCAGATAATGTAAGGAAGACCCAACTCGTTTTGTTTGTCCACCCTTTTGTAGAGGTATACCGCCCCAACAATGTCAGGATGGCAATGGATTTGCACTACTACTATGGTGACTGTAATACGCCAGAAGCCCAGGCTCAAATAAAACAGAACTTTATCCAACTGTTAAACGAGTCTTTCTTCAAAGAGGTCTGCCAAGATCCAGCACTCAAGGACAAGTGCAAGGCAAAAAATGTGAAAGTAACGTGTGCTGCGGTTGATTTTGTTATCAGTAGGAGAAGGCGTTCAGCAGGTATGGCAACATTACACAAAGCTCTCATTATTTTAAGAAACAAGAAACATCCTCGTTGTTTCAATTGGATGGAATAATGTAATATTCTACCGTAGGTATTATTATTCATGACATGGTAATGAGTCATGGGGAATCGATCTGGCCTGGTGAAAACCCAAGACTAGGCGAAAATGGAAGCGAACAGCTAGATCAAGTCCGACTTACTCCGTGGGTACTGGGAGGCTCATAATAGATTAAGAATAAAAATCAGCGATAATAATTTCGAATGGTGCACGGGTCATCGAAACGTCATTCGAAAATGTTATCGCTGATTTTTATTCTTAATTGTTTGCTCAAAGCCTCTGTTATTAGGATTTGCATAATCCCTAGGCTATCAAGTTTTTGCATAGTGGAAATATGCAAAAAGGAACACGAACGGCATGTGCTTTTTCGAGTTCTTCCAAACTTTCAAGAATGTTTGCATTACTCGAACTTACAAAGAGAAAATTTTTGTCTAGTTTCTTAAGAGAACACTGCGGAAAAGAAGATGTACATTCTCTTTGCTTGCTTCAACATTACGTGAACGGCTTGGACTACAGAACTGTTGTTCTACTAAGTCCGAGAAGTGCAGCTATAAGTGCACGCTTTCTTACTGGATGTTTTCAAATAGATCTAAACGTTGCACCAAATCAGTTTGGGAGCTTGCTTATTAAATATTTGTTTTACAGATCTGAACAGACAGACAGACAGACAGACAGACACACAGACAGANTCAATAAAACTACTCTTGTTGTTTACACTGCAAGAGATGCAAGTGGGAACAAGAAAGAGTGTTCGTTTAAAGTAGTTTTGGAAGGTGAGTCCGAAAGAGATTTTGCCACGTGTATGGCGAATTATGCCAAATTGATTTCCGAACTGTTTTTTATATTGCTGACATGATTCCTTACTCATATAATGTCTGAGTAAAAGGCTAGGAAATTATAGTCCAGCACTCTGTCAGCTGCCAACAATCTCACCTCGGTCTAAGAGTGAAGACCGATCACTCTCCGCTCTTTCTCTCTTGTCATTGTGTGGTGTAAGAATTATCGCCAAAATGGCCGGTAGAGCTATGTCAATGTAATAGAATCTGCTCCGAGGATAGAGTCTTTTCTTGACACAAACCCTTTATATATTTTCATCGTAGATAATTTAGGCCCTCAGGTTGTATATTGCCCCGCAGACCAGAAAATTACTGCTACGAAGATGACAACAACAGTTACGTGGAACGAACCTCAGTTTAAAGACAACAGCAATAGTCCATTGGTGATAACATGCAGTCATCAAAGTGGGACTGAGTTTTACTGGGGGACATGGAATGTGCATTGCACAGCTTACGATGATAATCCAGATAACGACCCAGCTGTTTGCCAGTTTACTATAACGGTTAAACGTAAGCATCAGGTAGACTAACCTAAGATATTTGAAGACCCAATTTTGAAAAAATAGAAAAGGGCAAGCATCTGAAAGTTGTATAAACGTCCCGTGCCACATGCAACTACCGCTCAGTACCTTGAACTAGCCAAACTCTTTGGTGTTAAATTTAATGTCGACTTCCTCTTTGTCGCGTACTGTTTTACTCCTATTATGTGCTAATACTTGATAAACTACGGTGACCTCTTCGGAATACCATCAGTTTAACCCCTAATTGCCTGTATCTCACTATGCAGAAGATATTGTGTTGATGACGACATTGTAATGAACAAAATTATTATCAGCGGTTCTTTGTATTTTTAACAAAACTAACAATCAATGTTGAAAAGTACTTTTGAAAGTAACCGGTCAGAAAGAATGAAGAAGAACAATAACAATAATTGTTGGAAAAATTTAATTTTCTTTACTCGTACAGCGACGAAGTGCAGTGACCTGCCTCCTCCCAAAGGGGGCGCAAAGGCTTGTGACGATTGGATGTTTGGAACGTTCTGTTCACCTTTTTGCAGCAACAAATCGGACTTTGCCCAACCTTTACCTGCGACTATGTGGGTTTGCGGAGCAAGAGGAACTTGGATGCCAACCAATCGTTTTCCAGACTGTACAAGTGAGTAAATAATTAGTTGCATTTTTCCTTTTTACACTACAACACAAGAAATTACATAAATACCATTCCCTGTCTTCTTTTGGCGATGGCTTGTCTTTAAGGGGCATTTTTAATATGTGACAACAAACCGTCAACTGTGTCAACTGTGCAAGTGTACCGAAAATTGAAATTTTCTGACATAATTGTTTTGCTCCTTTGCTATGTGTTACTTTGATATTATTTTCGTAAGTAACTTCGCAATGTTAATATGTTCTTTCATAGTTTTTCTTTTTTACCGTTCTGGAATCTTATCTTGATTTATGTTATTTGCTAAGGACATAACAATGTAGTGTAATCCAAATGGTGGATTGAATTAATCATGTTTTATATTGAAGTAAAATTAATTAAATGTCAACGGAGAAGGGTATTATGGGCCTGAGTCTAGCGGTTGTACTTGCGTTTTAAAAACTAATGTTATGACGCAGTTCCCATGGTCTATAAAAGTGCTTGACACTAGAAATGAAATTCTGTCAATATTTACCAAGCCACAATTTTTTTTTAAGACGGTCTAGATGAAATGGTGGGAACTCAGTTATCAGTTAAATTTCAGGGCGTTTTTAAGCAACGAAATGGCCAAATGGCTCCAGTTAGCCTCAATAGAACTCAGATTAGCCTAAATATTACTGCCTTGACAGTGGTTAGCTCTCAGTAATTGTAAAGGTAACGCTTACAGACACCCATATCCCACATGGACTCTTACTTGTAGTGCCATTTCGTAATCTCGCCATTTCGTGTTTTAAAAGCTTTCCACATTTTGGGCGATTTTATTTAGTTATCAGTCAAAGTTCAGCTCATTCTCAACTATCGGCAAATTTTGCTGATCTGAGATCGCAGTTCTTAGTTAAAAAAAGAAAAAAAAGAAACCCCGCATATTTTTCATATTTTCACAAATCTTGACCTATTCTCTGCTATCAGTTCAGTTAAAACCCATCCAGACCCTCAGATAATGTAAGGAAGACCCAACTCGTTTTGTTTGTCCACCCTTTTGTAGAGGTATACCGCCCCAACAATGTCAGGATGGCAATGGATTTGCACTACTACTATGGTGACTGTAATACGCCAGAAGCCCAGGCTCAAATAAAACAGAACTTTATCCAACTGTTAAACGAGTCTTTCTTCAAAGAGGTCTGCCAAGATCCAGCACTCAAGGACAAGTGCAAGGCAAAAAATGTGAAAGTAACGTGTGCTGCGGTTGATTTTGTTATCAGTAGGAGAAGGCGTTCAGCAGGTATGGCAACATTACACAAAGCTCTCATTATTTTAAGAAACAAGAAACATCCTCGTTGTTTCAATTGGATGGAATAATGTAATATTCTACCGTAGGTATTATTATTCATGACATGGTAATGAGTCATGGGGAATCGATCTGGCCTGGTGAAAACCCAAGACTAGGCGAAAATGGAAGCGAACAGCTAGATCAAGTCCGACTTACTCCGTGGGTACTGGGAGGCTCATAATAGATTAAGAATAAAAATCAGCGATAATAATTTCGAATGGTGCACGGGTCATCGAAACGTCATTCGAAAATGTTATCGCTGATTTTTATTCTTAATTGTTTGCTCAAAGCCTCTGTTATTAGGATTTGCATAATCCCTAGGCTATCAAGTTTTTGCATAGTGGAAATATGCAAAAAGGAACACGAACGGCATGTGCTTTTTCGAGTTCTTCCAAACTTTCAAGAATGTTTGCATTACTCGAACTTACAAAGAGAAAATTTTTGTCTAGTTTCTTAAGAGAACACTGCGGAAAAGAAGATGTACATTCTCTTTGCTTGCTTCAACATTACGTGAACGGCTTGGACTACAGAACTGTTGTTCTACTAAGTCCGAGAAGTGCAGCTATAAGTGCACGCTTTCTTACTGGATGTTTTCAAATAGATCTAAACGTTGCACCAAATCAGTTTGGGAGCTTGCTTATTAAATATTTGTTTTACAGATCTGAACAGACAGACAGACAGACACACAGACACACAGACAGACAGACACACACAGACTGACAGAAAACCACTTTGTCCAGCCACATCTCATCTTACAGTCTTGTGCACTTGCACTCGCACTTGCACTATCCAATTGTTGTAAACTAAGACTGTACCTCAGTATAATTACCTGTAGAGAATAAGCCCTGTAATTTGAATTGCCTGAATCTTTAATCTCTTTACGTTATTATTATTATTATTATTATTATTATTATTATTATTATTTTCCAGACGATGTTGGTCATCATAGAAGAACTCGACGATCAATTCCACGAACCACAGTTACTCTAGATATCGTTGGTAGGTCAATAATAGTATTTTAATTGTTTGTTTTTTGGGACGACTGAACACCTGAAAATGACAAAAGGGTTGTCTGCGTCGATTATAATAAAGTGTTTTTCTACATAACTTGCAGTTTAGCGTGTGAAGAAAGACTTGTTCTCCTAAAACTAGATAGTTAGAAAATTAAACTTCAAGTTTTGAATCACCCTGCCTAAATTAAATAGTTCAACCGACCTTTTTCTCACTTTGCAATGGTTTAATGTCAAAAAGTCACGTTACTCGTTATACTGATAACGGAGAATGTAGCTTCCGAGAATTGAAAATTTAAAGGCATTAACTCATGACTGGGTTTTAATTTAATTCCCATTTCCGTGGTATGGATGGAATGGAAATATCTGTATACTGCCGGATGGGACTTAAATAGCATCCGGTTGTCCTTATCCACCTTTACCTAAACCAAACTCTTGGGTATAGCAAAGAGCTGTGAGAGAAAGTCTCTAGCCTATCAGCGCAGCCACGTTGGAAATATTTCTCGCCAACATATTAACCATAAGGCAACCAAAAAGATACCAAAAGACACAAAGTCAAAGACTTTAAATAATCTATGCCACAACCTATTATTATCGAGTCTCAGTGCAATAATGATATTTTAATGCTTAACTCTTGTAGTTGACCTTAATGGCATTGAAGCAAATGACACCAAAGAAGGCCAGATCTTCATTGGCGAGGAGGGCACAAAAATTGCCAAAAACATCAGCAGTCGGATAAAAGCTGCAGTTGACAACGGCAATCTCAGTCTGACCATCAATGGCACTGACTTCGTAGCTGATGGAAATTCATTCAACATCTCAGAACCTAAACAATTCTGTACCAAGGGACAAACATTTAATAAAAAGGGATATTGCCGTTAGTATATTTCCTCAAATTAACATTTGTTATTAATTTGATCGCATTTTTGCGCCAAAAGACCCAACAATGCGATGCTTCAAGTGCCTCATTTTAAACTAGGCACAGGATAAAGTTTTATTTCTAGTTTTTCAGATTTTAGTTTTAGCCGTTAAGCTCTTGTCAGCATTTCTCACGAAGTACCTAAGACGTTTCCTGCTAGTGAATTACGCTTACAGCAAAACTATCTTGCCTTATATTATTTTAGTTATAACTGTAAAGAGCTCATTAGTTTATTGTCGAGGTAAGTTGAATTTGCTTGTTTTACATTCATACAAACTTCTTGACTGCATCTTTGTCTTTGTGATCTACAGTAAACTGCACGCTGGGGACTTACTTAGACAGTACCACTGGAAAGTGCGAAGACTGTCCTATCGGATCATACCAAGAGCTCAGTGCACAGGAAGAGTGTGCGATGTGTCCACCAGGCACTTCCACAACAGACTCCAGAACACAGAATAGCTCCGACTGCTTAGGTAACTGACTTTTCTAATAAAGCTGATGAGACAGAAATTTCTCAGCTCTGAGCTGTTGACACTAACGAATGAGCAATCTAATAACCTTGGCTATATGGCAAAGCGGAATCAATGAACATAAAAAAACGCCGAATACACAATGGGAGGGGGGAGGGAGTAAAGGTAGGGTCCCAGAATTTCACCAGAGGTTGAATATCCTGTGGTCACGTCAAGTGTTCAGTAGACCTAAAGATATTATCTAATATATATTGAGGTAGAGTGAAGTGCGCAACCTCTAGGACTAAGCATAACTGGCAGCCTCTCTTGACTATTTGTTTTCATGGCAGCTCTCTGTCGACCTGGTTCGCACTCGCCCACCGGAATGGAGCCCTGTCTTCTTTGTGACAAGGGCTATTATCAGTCCAAGGAGGGCCAAAGCTCATGCTTTAAATGCAGTCCGAACAAGACAACTTCTGCTGAGGGATCTAACAGCTCCACACAATGTAAAGGTATGTATTTTAAAAAAAAGATTCCATGTATGTGATACACCAGGTGTTACTCCCAAAGAAATGCAATAATCTGATTTCTAGCAAAGTTACTTTTGGATTAAGAGGTTCTGGTTCTTTTTCGTACCCTGCGAAGTTTCCTTGTGCTCTTTGGACGACATGGACACAGTGTCTTCCTCCACCAGGGAATCTAAATGATATGCCTGCTAGCTATTAGCCTTTTGTAAGGGCAAGCTAAGAAAAGAATGCTGAGTTGGCTTGTAGCGGACCGGCAACATACCTAGTAACTTAAGGACCTGTTTCGCTCCTCAATTTAGGTGCTAAAACTTGACCTCGGCTACGTTCTTTAATTAAGAACACGTCGTTAGCACATTCAGTTTAAGTAGACATTGTGTCAATGTCGAAAACGATGTTAATATTAATGGATTTAAATGATGGTTTTACATATTGTTTCTTCCAAACGAATTTAAAAATCTTCATTCTGATGACTAGCATTTGATCAATTATTTTCCACAGTTCCGTGCCCGGCTGGATCATTTTCCCCAACTGGACTGGCCCCATGTTCTTTATGCGATCGACGCTCTTTTCAGCCACGTGATAAGAGTCGTGTGTGTTTTTCATGCCCAGGAACAACTGTAACACTGAGACCCGGATCAAAGAACGCACAAGACTGTATAGGTCAGTAGTCTTACTGAAACATTGAGAGCCGCTCTTCCCTAAATGGTTCAGTAAGATAAATTTCAAAGAAAATCTTTAAGACAGCAATAGTTTTAACAAGAGACGTTTATAACATACAAATCATTTCAATTAAACAGAAACCTCATCAAAAAAGAAGTTTGTTAACTAAGCCAGATGGACACTGAAGATGTAAACTTAAACGAAGACGAAAACGGGTGGCTACGATTGATTAAGATGAGACGGACTGCGAATGATGATAAAAAGAACACGTCGTAAAAGTTCTGGAATCGATTGACAAAAGAATGCTTATGAACTTTGATCACTTGTCAATTAACATAGAATACCGCCTAAGTACAATTCCATTTCTTCGCGGAGCTTCTGTGCGTGCTTTTAAATTGTGTCACGTTTACCTAATTTTTTGTCCGCAACCACTTAAAGCTGGAAACTCATAGTTTCTAATTCTAGGGGGTTTATTTGTTCCAGAAATCGACGAGTGCTATTCTAACCCTTGTATCAACAACGCCACGTGTACTGACCTCATTGGCGATTTCTTGTGCTCCTGCCAACCTGGTTACACTGGGAAGCAGTGTGCTACTGATATTGACGACTGTCAAGATAAACCATGTTTTAACAATGGCACATGTCAAGACCTGCTCAACGACTACACCTGCTCATGCGCATATGGTTACCGAGGCCCTAACTGCGAAGAGGATATAGATGAGTGCGTTTCTTCGCCGTGTTCAAACAATGCCTCGTGCAGAAATCTCCCTGGTGGTTATCATTGCCAATGTGAGCCTGGTTATACGGGAAGACTGTGTGATACGGACATTGATGAATGTCTGTTATCTCCATGCCAGAATGGAGCCACTTGCAGAGACAAAATAAACAACTACGAGTGCGTCTGTCCGGTTGGTTACCAAGGCAACGATTGCGAAGAGAATATCGATGACTGCGCGAGTGACCCTTGTCAAAACTGGGGCCACTGCCGTGATGGAATTGACAGTTACCAATGCAATTGTCTTGCAGGATTTAACGGGACAAATTGTGAACATAATATCGACGATTGTGCTGGGGCAGAATGCAAGAACAACGCTACATGCTTAGATCAAATTAATGAATTTTATTGTATCTGCGAGAGGGGATTTTCTGGATCAGCGTGTGAGTTCAACATCGATGAATGTATCTCCAGTCCCTGCCAAAATCAAGCCAGCTGTGTGGATATGGTTAATGCCTATCGCTGTGACTGTCGCGATGGTTTTGATGGATTACACTGCGAAAACAACATAGATGACTGTGCATCGAGTCCTTGCTCAAACAACGGGTCGTGTCATGACGGGGTGGACAACTTTACCTGCGTGTGCCCGATAGGTTTCACAGGTAAAATATGCAATGTGGACATCGACTACTGCGCCTCGATGCCCTGCTTGAGCAATGGAACATGCTTTGATGGTACCACTTCCTTTACTTGTCAGTGTCCAGATGGTTTCGAAGGAGATCAGTGCCAGAGCAATATAGACAACTGTAAGAATGTCACTTGCTTAAACGACGGCGCTTGCATTGACGTAATAGATGGATACAAATGCGCTTGTTCTGACGGCTTTGTTGGTATTCTCTGCGAAGTAAACATCGATGACTGCGGAAAGAATCCATGCGCAAACGATGGAGCTTGTGCTGATCTCATAGATGACTACAGTTGTACTTGCAAAAAGGGATACACAGGAAAAAACTGCAGCATTGACATCGATGAGTGTGCCAGCTCTCCATGCGCCAATAATGCTACTTGTATCGACAAAGTGGATAACTACAAGTGCTCCTGTGCTGATGGATTCAGCGGACCACACTGTGAGGTTGATATCGACGACTGCGTGCTAAGTTCCTGTGGTAATGGATCCACGTGCAGAGACGGAATGAACAGCTACACTTGCGACTGCGCACCTGGATTTCTGGGCGATGATTGTACAGTGCAAATCGATGAGTGCTTGTCTTTCCCTTGTTACTATGGAGGAACATGTTATGATCAGGTAATGTGCAAATGCTCAATCCTACGTTATGCGCGTGTATTAATTAAGCACAAGCCCAGACAAGTAGTAACATTCGTTAAGCGGAGCAACCTATGTACATTCCATGAATTAAGTTCGGTTGAGGTTAGTAGATGTAGTCCCTATTTACTTGTATGAGAATTTAATGAAATATAAAGATTTAGAGGAAAAAAAAAACATGGTAAGGTTGGCAAAACTTTTTCCTTTTCGTCGACAATGATTTTGGAGGATGAATGACAATCCATAAACGTTCTTTGTGGATGGATGGATACATGCATGCATGGAATCTTTTATTTGAACACGGCATTTTTGTTAAATCTGGTTTCAATAAGGGCTCTGCAGAGAATACCACACACAATATAGGTTACTTTTTTACTATTACTAGCTTAATGTTACAGAATTAGTTTTGCTTGACCTGATAGTATAGGTCTACCTACCCATAAACCTTTTTTTTTTTTTTTTTGATTGAACTTCCTTCCTTAAAACTGGTTGGCAAATTATTCCGATTTTTTGCTCCGGTAAATGAAAGAGTAAATGTATGCATAGAGGTATGGAAGCATTGATGCATGTATGCATCAATGGATGGATTCATGGGTGCACGGACCCATGGATGCTTTCAGATAGTTAGATTTGCTGTCGTAGTTTGCGTTTTCAAAAAATCTGATTTTAGTTAAACTACCGAGCTGCTGACAAAGGGGAGGCCCGACTATAGCTACGTAGGAAATTAAAACGCCTAATAAAAAGGTGTGCTATACATAAGTAGTAGAAACACATTGGATTGTTTCTTGTATATAGCAGCGATACGGTGACGGAACTTCAAATCAGTCTCCTTTTACTTTACAGATCAACGGATTTGCTTGTGTCTGTCCTAATGGATTGACAGGTCTGCAATGCGAAGTTAATATTGACGACTGCAAATCCAGTCCGTGTGCAAATAATGGCGCGTGCTCAGATCTAGTGGCAAATTACACCTGTTCCTGTCCAGAGGGCTTCAACGGCTATAACTGTGAAAACCGCATTGACCACTGCAAAGAAACTAACTGCAGTCGAAATGGCTTCTGCGTTAACTCTCATAACTATTTTTACTGCAATTGTAGCGCTGGCTACTTCGGAGATTACTGCGAATTGGAAATAAACGAGTGTTTACCAAGGCCGTGTTTTAACAACGGAACCTGCCACGATAAGGTCAACAGTTTCACTTGTTCGTGTGCTGATGGGTATACTGGAAGGTACTGTGAGCTTAACATAGACGACTGTGTCAATGCCTCTTGTCAAAATGGCGCTTTTTGTGTTGACCATATTCTCGGGTATTCTTGTCTGTGTCCCGCCGGATACAATGGAACCTACTGCCAAACCGAGATCAACGAATGTGAATCGAACCCGTGTATCAACAATGGTACCTGCATTGATCTGACACCAGGTTACAAGTGTGAATGTTTGAGTCAGTTTACTGGAGAGAAATGCCAAAACGTTACAGACGTCTGTCTATCAATGCCTTGCCTCAATCACGGCACGTGTAGGTCTTATAATTACTCAGAAGACTTCAGCTGTACGTGCAAAGCTGGCTTCACCGGAGAAAAATGTGAGGTGGACATTGACGACTGTGCTTCAGAGCCTTGCATGCCAAACGCGTATTGTCAGGATATGATGAATAGTTACAGCTGTGAATGCTACCCCTCTTACTCTGGAGACAACTGTGACATCTGTAAGTTAGTATTTATGACAGTTCTTTATTGGTAAAACGGATGAAATGGGAAATGCCGCATAGATAGAAAATACTCAAGTTGACACTCGGAGGTGCATTCAAATCGAAACTCTTACCTAAACAACGCAATACAGGTAGAAAGACGTAGGATGAGCCCTTCCCTCAGATTTATTTATTTGTTTATTTTTTCTGAGGGGAGGGATGTGGTAATAAGACGTACAAAGACTTGTTTGCGTTTAATAGATGGTACTTAGCTTGCTCTCCAGGATACCATTGTTTATATGTTGATTATGACGTCGTCATCATTGATTTCATCATTTTCTGTAAAGGTCAAAGAAATGTTCATTGCAGGATAATTAGCTCAAAAATGCATTTGTTATGGCATGTCAAAAGACGAAGTCAAATATTCGAATTACCAAAATTTCCATCAGTTTGGAATAAGGAGCCACTGAAAGCGACTGAAAGTAAATATATCATCTTCATAAACTCTGAGAGAGTTGCTGACGAGCTGCGGACTCGCGTGCGAGAGGGAAAGAGAGAGAGAGAGAGAGAGAGAGAG